ACCAAACTTCTCCTACAGGTAAGGCAATGTCCACTTTTAGTGTAGGTCAAGATTTCTGGAAACCCCCGACATCTGGGCTAGCCCGCTTGTCCTTAAAGGCGACCAATTGTCCAGGCGTTTCTTCAAATCGATGGGACAACACTTTCACTCAATGGAAATAAATCAGAGAAGAAATATTTAGTTTAGTTACAGTTTACAGCACTTGCCACACAATTAGGTCATGTAAGTGTCGAAGATAAGAGATATTGCAAGACAGTAATAAACAAAAAGGTAGGAGGAGAACTAACGACAATAGATATTTGATACGAATTGCTTTAAGCCATTGTCGATTTGTAAGGAGTGGACGTAGACAACTCGCTCACAGGGAGGCCATGGAGAATCAGCTCTCGTGGGAAAAAGAAACTACAAAATCGAAATGTGGATAAAAATTGCCATGTATTTGTAAATAATTGTGAAGCTTTTCTAAAATCAAAAAGAATAGACGGAGAAATATAAGCACAGTAATAACGTATCTTTTTAGCTAAAGGATAAAGTCAATAAAAGTAAAGCTTTGTTTTTAAAAAATTATAGAGGGAGAAAAATAAGCAAAAACAAGTGTAATAAATGATGGCCAGTAAAAGCCTCTATAGCTCCATAATCCCGAAGAGCGAAGAGATTGTATTGTTGGCAAAATGCAGAGAAACATTAACTCTTATTTCTTTTCCCCAGGGGTACACCAGCAACGATGGTTATATTGTCACACAAGGCAAGTATGATAAATCTATAATAATGGCCTTGGTTGATGGTTTGGTCACGATAAAGGTCACGTGTTTTATTCGGTGGACGCAGAGGAGATTATTATTATTTCTATCAATATTTTTTCTCTTATTTTTGTTGGTACCTCTCGATAAAGGAAACAACTGTTCACCAAATGAAAGTTGTCTGGTTTAAAGAGTTTTTATCAAGAGTTTTATGGCACTTGCAAGACAAATAGGTCACATAATACTGAAGATTAAAGGTGTTGATAGAGAGTAACATATACAGAAAAGAATATGGAGAAATAAGATATGGGCGATTGATGTTTGATAGGAAAGATGGAGACAGCCTCACCAGTACACCTACTAACCACCCAGCTGGTTTGAAGGGAGTATGATGGTGTGTGGTTTAAAGCCGTCTACAGTACCTCTTTGTGAAGCTAAGGTCTGTTTTCTAAAATCAAAATGACTCAACTGTACCGGGCTGACCATGTCGCAAGAAGAATGCCTGATTTCAGAATCCTATAGGCAGTAGTTTTCTATTCTGAAGTGTCCTCAGGGAAGCATCAAGGTGGCGTACCAAATAAAAATCGATACAAAGGCGTTGGTCTTTTGTTATTTTTGTACAGTAGCAATTGTTAATAATCGCTAGTAAAAGTATTTTTGGGTCCTCTATTCAGAATTTTCTTGACCTGCTATTTACATGCAGCTGACCTCCTTGTGGCCAGTTTTGAGTACCGTGACGTCATTTGGGATATATCTTTCCCGTCTTGCCTTTTTGAGCTCCTCTGGAAATAATCTTCAGTTTCTGATTTGATAAACCCTTTTGGAATATCCAGAACAATAATTTAATGCACGAACAACAAGTCTTGCAATGGAATTTCAAAAGCAGTAACATTCCTTTGTCAGCAGTGAATGCTACAATGGCCCTTCCACACCTTCTCCAAAATAATTAACGAAAACAGTCAATCTGCAGCTGACATACTTTCATATGCAGGTTTCGTAAACTTCACAAACATTTCTCTTTTCACCGCTACGTCACACGAGGAATTATGGTCTCATAAAGGGTTCCATTCAAAGAGGTTATATAGTACTTTTTATAACCTCTTTAGTTCCGTTGCAAAAACACGCTATGCGCAAAGTCTGGGAATACTTTTTTTTCTCGAATTGCGCAGTATCTCTCTCGATATTTAGTTTGATGAAATTGTGTTTCATGCATACTTTTGTTATCAGAGAATGCATCCCCCCACTCCACCCCCCC